GGTCTGCATCAGCCAGAACTACATTCTCAGGTTAATCCCTGCCCCCCCAACCCCGCCCCCGAAAGCCTTTCCCAAGACCCTACACAGGGTCAGACGGATTGAACACAACGCCATGAGGTTGGGAGGCCCTTTCCATCTATTGCTGTCAATCCACAGTGTTTGATTTCACACCCAAGAGCCCTCCCAGGTCCCCAGTAGCTTCCAGTCCACCGCAGAAGGGGAGCTGTGTTGCCCACTACACTGAAGAGCATTCTTTGGGGGAGCGCAATTCTAATCTAAAGAGGAAATAGCCATTATTAGGAAAGTAGCTAACAGCTACCAGAACTCCAATGTGCCAGGCACTGCATTCAGCCAACACGCGACCTCTCATTTCATCCTTCACACAAACGTATGAGCTAGCAGGTATTACTCTCTGCCCCATCTCACAGATGAGGAAACTGAGTCTAGAAGCATTGAGCAACTTGCCTAGGAATCCCTGATGCCACAATCCAAGTTATACTGACGTTTCTTGACTACTTATTGTATGCAAGCCTTGCACTATCCATTGAGACATGCATCGATGTTTTAAAATTAATTAAAATGAAATAAAATAAAAAACCCAGCTCTATAGTCACATTAGCCACATTTTGCACTGGTCTGGTGGCCATCGTACTGGACAGGGCATCTCCATCAGTACAGAAAGTTCTTCTGAGCAGGGCTGGTTTAGATACTCCGACCCAACCTAGTTATCAGGCAGATAGTATCCCAAGTCACTGGAAGGGACTCTGAGGTCCCGAGACAGATGCTGAGTCATCTCCCCAAGCTCCCTCAGCCTCAAGGCTGGACCTCAAGCAGGCTCTACTTTCCACCCTGTAGAAAGGAGTGACAAAACCAATCAACAGAGAGTCCTGATTTGATGATCTGTTAGGAAAAAAAAATTATAATTTTCTTAAAAGGGATTTTTGAAGAATATTAGCTAGTGGAAATAAACCAAAATACAGGCATTTTATTTATTTATTTTTTAGATTTTATTTATTTATTTGAGAGAGAGCAAGCACAAGCAGGGGGGGAGAGGCAGAGGGAGAGAGAGAAGCAGGCTTCCCATTGAGCAGGGAGCCTAATGCGGGGCTCAATCCCAGGACCCTGGGATCCTGACCTGAGTTAAAGGCAAACGCTTAACGAGCGGAGTCAACCAGGCGCCCATGGACAGGCATTTTAGAGTAAATATGGACTATTGCTGTTTTAAAACTACCTTGTTGCTTTCTCTGCAGATTTATCATTGCGTCACCCAGGGCTGACACAGACTTCCAGCGTTTTCCAGGTCTTTGGGATTAAGGCTTTACTGGACACAGGTAAAGGGATGGCTGCCTGGAAGGATGAGGAGAGGAGGAAACGGGAGAATTCCTTTGCCAACATAAGCAAAATCGATATTCACTTCTAAAGCATCTCAAACAGACCTTTGCTCCTTATTTCTACTTATTCTGTCTTGAATTTGAAGCCACCAAGCTCCGCATGGGCGCCAGGCAGCCCATCTTTATTTACTTTTCACTTGGAATGGACAGGCTGAAACATAATCCAAAACCAGAAACGAAAGCAAAATGCTTGGAGCCTCCAATGCAAAGTAAAATGCGAATTAGGTCTAGATTCACATGCTTTTAAAGACCAGCTTGTGGGAAGACAGAATTAATGTTCTGTTGTGAAAATCGAGGAGTTGGATCCAGACCCTCCCTGGCCCACGTGTCACTCACGGGAGGACCCTCCACAGACAGCAGCCTCCCTCGAGCAAGCTCAGTTCAATGGGCTTTAAGCGGTGGTTTCCAAAGTTGGCTATACTTAGAATGGCCAGGAGCTTCTGCAGACCTAGCAAATCAGAAGCCTGGGGGTGGGACCAGGTGTCCCTATTTGTAAGACTGCCCAGGTAACTCCAACGAGCAGCTAAGGTTAAGCAGCTAAGGTTAAGGGGCCAGGAGAGCCAGCTCTCTGTCATTAACATGGGTGCTGACCGGCGAGGCCCCCACCTGTTCTCCTCAATGGCACATCGCTGGCTGAACTGAAACCAGGCCTGATGCTCTGGCCCACCCTGACGTCAGACCGTGTGGCCCGGGGGGGGGGGGGGGGGGGGTGTTTTCCTCCAGAGAGGGAGGGGGGGGGCTGACTGGTCCTCAACAACCTTTCTGTTTTCAGATGATGTGATACCAGCAGAGGGATCTCTGGACGAGGTGAAGTCAGCAATGGAGAAAGGGAATTGTGAATAAATTAAAAAAAAAAAAAAAAAAAGCCACCCAAACAGGCGATCGTAATTGATTGCTTCAAACACTTGGTACCTGAGACCATCGCTGGATATACGAGAGAGACACAGGGGAGGGGCTTGTGATGTTTTTATGGCCTGTGAAAAATACTTTGTCACAAAACTTTTTGTGACCTTGCTGCAAGGCTGTGGGTTCAGTGATCTGCAGAGGTTGGCCCTGGGCTGCTCGCACCTTCATTTCCACTGCGGGATCCTCCATGGGCGCTCCTCTTATTCTTCAGAAACAGAAAGAGTCGAGCATTATCTACCCCGAGCTGCTGTGGAGATACCTCTTGTCCAGGACAGGAATGGTGTCAGCAGAGGCAATCACTAAACCGTCCCTGGGGTCTCCAGGCTCTGGGGTCCAGGCTCGGCAGCCGGGATGCCCTTGTTGGTTACCAAAGTGGCCACAGGGAGGCAGTGTAGCCCAGGGTTTCTACTGGCTCTGAAGGCCCGCCCATTGGATTCCAGTTTGAAAAGACTTTATTATCAAGTGTTTTAAAAAACTGGGTACCAACCATAAGAAAAAGAAACAAAACCAGGCTCCTGGCACAGGACGGAACCACAATGATGCAGAACTTATGATCAAACTAAAGTAGTAACAATATGGAGCCAAATCGAAGTAAGACTTGTAAAGATGCTTCTAGAAAAGACTGAAGGCTAATAGGAAATACGGATATGCAGAAAAATAACTTGATTTCATGATAACAGTGGCAAGGCCAATGCACTTTACTTGTGTTGCAGGTGTTTATTTTTTTTTATTTTTTTAAAGATTTTCTTTATTTGTCAGAGAGAGAGAGCACAAGCAGGGGGAGCGGCAGGCAGAGGGAGAAGCAGGCTCCCCGCTGAGCAAGGAACCCAACGTGGAACTCGATCCCAGGACCCTGAGTTGAAGGCAGATCCTTAACCGACTGAGCCCCACCCGGGCATCCCTAACGTTGTGGGTGTTTAAACTAGAACCGTGAAATACAAGTGTGAGTAAAATCCTAACTTACGAATTTTCACATTTTCCCTCCCTGCTGAGGGCGTTCACTTTACTTTGACTTTATCCGTGGCACATACGTAACCCCTTCCATGACAGAGGCCTCCGGGCTGCGGGTAGGATTCCTTCCACCAGGACACGGTGAGTGGAGTCGGAACCCGAAGGTCACGATGAGTCCAAACTTGTTTGTGGGTCTCAGGGATGGGGCAGAGGAGGGCTGGGCAGTGGAGGGCCCCTCAAAGTGAGGAGTGTGGGGATGATGGGAGGGTGCCCTAGACCCTTCCTCTGCTCAGATTCAGCCCCCTTCTGCCCTTCCTTGGGTCACGCCTCCTCTTGACTCACGGGTGGAAGGTGGTCCTTCAGGCTGTTAGGGAAAAGCCATCGTACAGGCCAGTTCCGGCTCTCCTTGTCTTCTGCTCATTCCACGGACCTCCAGGTAGGATGATGACCTGCTCCGGAAGGTGAGAACCTGAAAACCAGCCAGCCCCAAACCGTGGATGTGACCTGGACCCATCACCTCTTCCTGGAGCACCCGTCCTCTCTGCAGATAAGAGACACATGCCCAGAAATCCAAATGTCAGTGACACAACCGTTGTCACCACTGCGGTTATAGACA